TGTGTGTGTGTGTGTGTATGTATATATATATTGTATATGTGTATATCTATGTGTGTGTGTTTATACAAATACATACATCATTGGATACTGAAATTGATACTATCTTCATCATTAATGAGTGTATCCGTATGACATAGTTATCATACCCGTCCTGATGAACCATTCCTCACTAGGTGCACGTCTATAAGTATAAGCAAGTATGATTGTTCAGCTAGGAAAGAGCAATTTCTCATCGACCTCTATTTGGACGCAGAATCTTGCATCGAACTTGCGGAATTTGGAGCACGTATCGAAACGTACAGGTGCTAAGTTGGACGGAAGCTATCGATACCCTTTTGCAAACGATGAGGACACCAAAGTCGACCTGTACATTATCGATACCGGTATTGACACAAATCACACCGATTTCAATGGGAGATCTCGATTTGGCTATGATGCCACTAACGAGCCCGAAATCTTAAGCGGTCATGGTACGAATGTTGCTGGGTTTGCAATGTCAAGGTAAAAGAGTGCCTCTCGAAACTCAGGATACTCCTGATATGGTAATATAAATTGTCGTTGCATGTATAGGAAGACCTCGATGATGCAGTAGTCGGACTTGCCAAGATCTACTCAACGCAACTTTCTTGATGGTAAGTCTGTTACTTCGAGCATCCACCGAGCTATTCACGATGGATACTAATCACGACTTGACAATTCAACTATACAGCACATATGGTACAGCGAAACAAGCAAACTCGATATCTGTCAAAGCTTTGGCTGGTCCAGAGGGAGCAGGCAACTCACGAATCACTATGGATGCACTCATTTGGGTCGCGAAGGAGGTAGAAGCCAATATGGGCAACGGCAGACAAGTACGTATCTATGATCAGAGGCTTCTATATATTTTTCAGATCACACGGTATCGTTTGCACGCACAGTTCAGAGACAGAAAGATACGAACATCAGAATCTGTGAGTGTCAAATGGTAGTATTGCAAGTTCTTTATTCATATAGCTATTTGACTCGGTTCTTCATACTTCTGGTATTTGATTTGATTTTTCTTATTTCTCGTTGCCTCCCCTTAGAGCGTAATCAATATGAGCCTCGGTGGGCCCCGGACCAATTTACTGAACAGTTTGGTGGATACAATGGTAGATCAGTTAGGAATACACATCATAGTAGCTGCAGGAAACGATAATCTGAACGCCTGTAACTTCTCACCGGCCAGCGCCGAACGCGTAATTACGGTATAGTCATTTCTACCATGTAAGGCTAGCCTGATGAAGGCTACGTGTAAAGACACATTGTGTGCATCTAATTATATGTAGATGAGTCTGGCTACTTTCTCGCCCGAAATACCTATAACCCTTTTATTGTCCGCAAAATTATGTATGGGAAATGTGGTCCAAGTAAAACTGCCCTCATATCCTGTGGTCGAATTTAGGTTGGAGCGAGCAACGGAAACGATCGGCGTGCGGAGTTCAGTAACTTTGGCAGCTGTGTGGATATCTTCGCACCCGGTCAGAATGTTCTTAGCACCGCTCCTGACCAGGGCTTGAATAGGGTAAGAGTGTGAGTGTGATAGTTTGTATCATTGGGTCCAATGACCCATATTACAGTAGACACAATGAAAGAAAGTGATGTAAGAGTGAACATTATGTTATATGTTTGTCTAATAGTATGCTGATGATATATTCCACGTACAAGAGTTGAAACATATTATACATCTCGACCACCACTCGTAATCAAACATTTGCAGGTAAAACTATACTGCGATCCCACATTGACACACACACACACTCAAATATCTGAAATGTCCCAATTGTGGTGCGCTCAGGGATCCGGCACGTCCTATGCCGCGCCAATGGTGGCTGGTATGGTTGTGAATCTGCTATCCTCCTTTCCAGATATGACCCCTGCAGAGGTGCGGGCTTACTTGATCCAAGATGCCACCCCTGATGCCCTCTCAAACATTGGTGTTAATTCGCCCAATCTCTTGGCATATCAAGACTGCGATGTGCTGCTGCAGTCGGTATGAACGTCGCACTATTACAACCTGTCACCCGCCTGAATTGCTTCACTTCAGGAAACAACGAGAACATCTGGTGTTTTGGCATCAACTGTGCATTGATGAGCTTGTAGCTTAACTGTGAGGCTTCGCATACGCGAGAATTAGCTACTACGAACGTTTAACTGCATATTGACTGGTCATGATGGAGAGGCTCGATAGAGGTTTTCTTAAAAACCAGCCTCTAATATGATCATTGTGTCCTCTTCTATTTTCCAGGAGCTTGCCGTTCCTAATGCCGGTGGTTCTGAAGGTAGGCGATTCTCTTCGTACTTCGTTGCGCATATCAATCTTCGAGAAACATGTACTCGTATTAAGTATGTGTTGAAGTTGTGTGGCTGTATTCCCTGAAGACTATCGTACTAACTCATTCATTTGGAGGGAGGAGATAGGGTCGATCTTGACGCGAATCCTAACTTCTCGTCGAGATACTTTTACACCCACTAATTACATGACAGAATCACCGTCCCTTTATTCACAATAATTATCCCCACATTCTATACAGGCGATGGCACGAATATAGCCTCAGTCGACGATGGAAACAGCACGCTCATTATAGGTACAACTTTGGGTCCGTCATAATCCGCCCTCGGAACATCTTCCTTGACATTGATGAAATATACTTGTATTCAAATTCACCCAGGCGTCATGCTTTTACATATCTGTTTCGCTGACCTTCACTGTGTACTGCAATGGCATCATCAACCAATCTAATGACCTCACCAAACAGACTTGTCCGTGCATCTTAGTAGGTACTCATAAATAGATATTACCTACTGCGAATACCTACTGCTTCCTTTCTTGAAACGAGACACTCAAGAAAAAACAATTATACTTTCACCTCAACTTCATTCAGGTGTCGCCGCAGCAGTCGCAGTTGCACTATTGATTGCCTTGATAGCTCTAGTACTTTGCTGCAGAAAAAAGAAGGCACCTGCAAAAGGAATGAGCACCAAAAACTCGTGGAATCGCAGTGATGAACCGTTGGCATCGATGGGTGCTACAGGGTCGGTCTAATGAGATGACGGGGTCGAAAATATGGTAGGAGATTCGGTACTTGAACACAGACTAACACTGGTCCGAGGAGCCATATCCCTACTGGTTCGCGGACACAAATCACCTACCGTACTGCATCAGATACAGGAAGTTTTGCTGATAATCTACAGTGGTATCCCATGTCTTCCCTTGGTAAGGAGAAACTGGCCACTGGATAAAGCGATCGTTGCCCCCGGCACAGTGCAGCTGTGGTGAGACATACGACAGCGGCTTTGGCTATTAAAGAAAGTATCCATGACAATTCGGTAGAGAACTATAGTAAGGGTCAAGTCTATCGATTGTAGACCGTAGATAGTCTAAAAGCAGATTGGTCACTATTGTGTTTAGTCCTATCGAACTGTTGTTACCATATCAAAAAAGCGGTCGAAAATTGGATACATAGTGTTGATGAACAGCTTCGTCATTTGAATCAAAGTTTCTTACTATTCCGATGTAGATTTCATCCGATATTCCAAAATAATGTAATGCCGCACATTGCTATTGCTGGCAGAACTGTACACATCATGAAAAAAATTGCAAACCAAATCTGGCGTAGAGTATACCGTTTGACCGATGAAGTATACTTGGTTGTAATCCCATACACTTGGAATGAGAAAAAAAGATAAACATATTTATTCAGTTTGTAAACGCCCTACTCAGAACACCATGGGCACCATTCATCAAAGGCATCAACAGGATACTCGCCTGCGGATTCATCAGTGGCTCCAAAGAGTTGTACCCCAGCGCCATCTTCGATGACACTGTATGTATTCAAAAAAGGACCGTGTTGGCGTGATGGCAGGGGAATGAGACAAAATTTACCAAACACCCGGGTGATATCTGCCGCATCAGCGCCTGAGCTGACGACGCGATGTGACATGTACCTGAACAAGCATACTCGTGCCACACCAACCCACACCTATAAAAAATGGTCTGTGACAACAAGTCTGGTGTCTGAATAGCCTCTGCTTGACATACCATAAAAATGAGGCGCCTCCAGTACAACATCGCGGGAGTCGGCTAAACATATGTAATATGGGTGGTTGCGATGCTCCTCGGGGATCCCGTGGTCTTCACAGAACTGGTCGTTCGCTATCACCCTGGGCACCACCTATGCGTAGAGAAGGGCATGATATGTGAAATTATAAATCCTAAAACTCTATGAAATCCTTACACGTGACACGTGAGACTTAATCACAACTGACAACCGCACGCTGCAGCACGCAGATGTCAGTCTGACACCATGTGTCACAATAAACAGCGTATTACAACGAGAAGATGTATTGCAGACTACAAATAGTATTGAGCACTAGTACGAGGGGAAGTGTTGAACACTGTAAAGATGTTTAGCGTGACGCGACATGTATAAAGACATGTACACAGAACAAAACTATGACTTTTGGTACTGAGTGTTAACTAACGTAGAAACGCTACAACCCTCCGAGATATAACTCTGAGACTTTGATTCCTTCATCACTTCGACAGCTGAATACGGTTAGAGTGACAAGTTATGACATTATGTAGGTATGTCAACACGTCAGCCCCTCCCTTCACAATGATAAACCGACTAAATGTCGACTCCAATACTTATTGCCACGATAGCGTATTGGTACTTCGCCAGACTTTGATCTATCACCCACACTTCAACCCAACGGCACAATGTCCCTACTGGCGCAGCGACACATTGAGGGTCTGACAAGCCAAGCTCTAACAGTTACACTTGACAGTCTGACACACCTCCAGCACTACGGCGCGATAGCCGTGTTCCTTGTGAATGAAGAAATGTCCGGGCCTGAGATCCTTGCCATCGGTCAATACTTCTCCGATTGTTGTCAATTTAGGACCGTCGGCTTTCGTTGGGGGCATCGATGAGAAAAAGCGCTGTCATGTGATAGATCGATGTGTACGTACAAGGCTACTTTAGACGATTTATTGTCAACTAGATGCCGTCGGGACAACCCTTTGGGGAAGTCGATGGGAAAGCGTAACGCATATTACGTAAATGGGCGTAACGCATAATACATGAATGGCTTGATGAAGTGATGACTAATTATAGAAGCCGTCCGTTGAACAACCTGGCAGCGGAGATACGCAAACCTGAACCATTGAATTTGACGACGCAGGAGTTTATGTGATATATCTACTGCAGCAATTACACACAGCAAGCAAAGCTCCACGGTACAGTGATTCTTATGGAAACAAGATGCTGGAGGGCACACCAACCATTCAGATTGAGGTCAAACATTGACATGCGAATGGGATACCCCCGGAAAGTAACAAGTTAAGAAAAGCGACACTTGCATGACAACTTTCATTTCTTTGCCTGCAGCCACACACAGGAGAGGAAGGGATGCCCTTCAGGCGCATACCCCTCCCACCCACCTTCTCCTATCATCATGAAGTGATACTACTGCACATTGCTTGTCATAAGGGTCTCATTCGTTTGGCACAGCTACAGTTGCTGTCAATATACTTGTGAGGAACTGACATTCGCAAATAAGATGCATCTTAAACAACGGAGAATGCGTTCGACATGCACACGTACATGATACACATTCGCGTGATGACAGCGCTACAAGACCTACTCTGTGCTCTTTTGCAGCATCTTGACCTTGAACTTATTATCCTAAATATACACGTTACATTATTATCCAACAATATCTACGCTACATTACTATCACAACAATATCCACGCTACAGCCCTGTGCCCCACATGACAAGCAAGATGCGTGGTGTCTCGCCAACTTGACAGGCAGAAGATAAGCTTTGCCACGCAGGTGGGATTCTCCACAGCCGTAACAGCTTCGGAGAGAACCCCACCTGCATGACAATTCTCATATTCCATCTGTTGCGTTGGAATGACACCACTGCATAGTGCTTGGCATACGAGACTGAAAACCATAGAAGCCCAATTCAATGTACTGACAAACGACCAACACTCGTAAACCACGTGGATGGCGCAGGGTATGTGAGTCGCAACTACGCATCTAAACAATTGGATAATACGTACTACACACGCACTCGTGAGTCGGTGGCTCATGCAACACTATTGCAACAGCAACTACACCACAGCTCAGTATCCCTCACGGCAAGCAAACTGTGTGTGGTGTCTCGTCAATATGACACAAGATAGATATTGACACGCGTGCACGCGGGTGAGAGTCTCCCGGATAGAAACTACATTGAGCGACTACCTCGCCTGCATGAGAATCTTAAGTAACCATGTACCGTGTTGACATGACACCAATGACACCACCTCATTCTGCACATCACAAGGGCCTCACAGAGTAGGTGCAGATACTGTTGGAGCACAAGCACATGCCAACATACAGGCAACGGAGTGACATTTGCAAACACCGTAGATAGCGCAGGGCCAATACCTCGCAGTTACACACAAACGGATACAAAGAATACACATTACACACACACGAACAGCCTATACATATGCGTTGTGATAGCGGATAAAGTGCTAAATGGCTCTTATTCACTTGCATCTTGACCCTGAGTTTGCCTAGCAGCAATAGTCGTGTCAAAGACTTGGACCTCTCAAGATAAGCAAGACGTTCAGGTTTGAAAGATAAAGGATATAAATTTGCTACCCGGGTGAACTTAATCTAAGTACAAACAAGTTGGTACTACTACACTTTGCACGGCATAAGAGATACAGAGGTTTGGGGCAGTTGTTGCTGGACGGCAAGTTCAATGATAACAAACAGACAAAGAACTGGCATCTGCCACCAACGTGAAGTGTATGGCAACTTGTATGAAACGAAGATTATAAAGAGCCGCGTTGCATCAATCTCGAATTGCAAATCGCCACACCTACCGTAAACGCAAAATGACTGCCCCTGCCGGCGGTGGACAATCGCGCCACCCGATTCAAAGATTGAACACCCCTCACAAACATAATGTATCAAATGGTGTTATATACAAATGTGTCACTTGTGTGTGTGTGTGATGTGATGAGTGTCCACAGGACTGTGTATGTACATAATACGTAGTAGTAGCGATGACTGCCCCAGACCCCCAGTACATAGTACAGAAAAAAAACAAGAGGGCTATGAACTTACTGCTGTTGATTTTAGGGGGTTGGGACTTGGGACAAGAATTTGAGCGAATACTTCACATTTTATTGGCAGATAAATATATATGTCCGAGAAGAGAACGTCAAAAAGCTGTTTGGCTTTTTTTTTCCAGAAAACTGATTTTAGTTTTTCATTTACTTTTAGAAAAACACAAAACACGAAATTATTTTTGAACATTTATTTATATTAATAAAAAACAAGACCAATACATATGTAAATACATCGCAAAATTAACCCCCTGCTATATATGTTCAAATATAGCCTTGTGCAATTTAGAACGTGCACAATCGTATTTATTTAAAATATTGCTTCAGTGACCAGTGGCCTTTACAGGCACATAATATCATAAACCGCTGCGGGTTATGTGATCGATATACTATTCAATGTAT